TAATTAGTAACAATGTTGAACAAAAATATAACTAAGAAAAATGCTCTATAAGCAAAGCATTTTAACTAATTACATTGCTTATAGAACATTGTGACAAATCATACTGCTTATAGAGCATTTTTTAGTAATTACCTTTCTTGCAGAATATTATTAATAATCGTACTGTTTATAGAGCTTTGTTACTAATCATACTGTTTATAAAATATTTTAATTAATTACACTGCTTATAGAGCACTGTTACTAATCATACTGCTCATGGAGCATTTTTTCTTATTACATTTTTTGTAGAGCATTGTTACTAATTAGACTGCTCATAGAACATTGTTACCAACCATGCTGCTTATAGAGCATTTTTCTTAGTTATATTTTTGTACAACATTGTTACTAATTAGACTGCTCATAGAACATTGTTACCAACCATGCTCTATAAGCAATATGATTTGTAACAATGTTCTATAAGCAATGTAATTAGTTAAAATGCTCTATAAGAAGTCGTGAGTGTAAAAACCATTTTTGATAACTCTCTGAAGCTAATGTTAGTTAGTTCACCTCACTTAAATATTTTATATTACATCAATCACTATCATATTTAAACAATACGATTTGAATCCACCTATACTGTGAACAGGAAAATGTAAACATACATGAGTTTTCGTTTTGCATATTGCGTCATGTTATGACCCTTTCCTTCGCAAACTTATCAATAGATTTAATTTGAGAGAAGTTTATATGTTCTACCTATATATATATATAGAATATGTAAGAAACCCATATTATATTTTTACGTTAAAATGTATTATATTTCTATATGTATTTGTATCTTGCATTTATGTCAAAGTTACTAAGAATGTCTGTCTCTGTCCCTAATTTTGGGCTATTGATCAGACAGAAGGTAGTCAGTCAGCAGCACCCTAGCACCCACCACTTACGCTAAACGATTGACCGTCACTCTTTTCACACACCCGCAGCTTAAAATTCGAGATATATTTTGTTGTATCGCTCGGATTCGAATCCGACTCTCTTAAATTCATAGCTCTACCACAGAATCAACTTGCGCCCAGATTAATTGATCAAAGATATTTTGGCCTCAATTTCGAACATGCTTCTCTTAGTAAACACATGAAAAATGTTATACGAATGCAATAAACACCAAGTTAGTATTACTCGCATGTTTTCGTTTTGCATAACTGGTAAAAAGCTTTGCTATAACCTTTCGAATCTATAGATACTTGACCCAAAGTTATCCTATACATGTAGCCTAAGCTAATAGAGTAGCCTAAGCCAGTTAAACGAGTAAAATGTTAATGTCGTTTGATTTAATCATTAATCACAGTGATTTTAGCTTGCAGGATTATATTCTCTAACCAGTAAATCAAATCGGATGTTTTTTGCTATAAATTGACGTTTCCGACATTTATCTCCGTTCGTTTACTTAATCAACTTAAGACTTAGTATATATTTTTGCTTTCAACATACATTCCTAACCAAGCCACACTTAACTTTGCTGTTTGTTAGTCGCACTATGTAAGAACAATGTTTCATGTTCTGTGTTGCAGACGGATTTAATTCTTTTATCGTCGAACGCAATCATTATAACAAGCACTTACGAAATATGATGAGGTCAATCTTCGACAAGACACCTTGATGAGCTTTCAACAGACCTTCTAGTGTACTTGGAGATTGGCTACTAACATCTATTGACACCGCATCTGGACACTTGATAGATGTGTGTGGCTGAATGAAACTATTATAAATTTAATGTATTCTGCCATATTTCTCATGTAGAGGTGTATCTGGTAACTTATTCTCATTCGTAAGCTACAAATCCTTATTTATTAATATGCTCAATTTTACCAAAATGGCTCTTTGAGTCGAAAGATTCTTTTTCGTAACCATAACCCGCTGCTTTCTTAAGTAATTGTTTGGTCGGTTCGTTCGATACCATAATGGACATTGAAGACTACTACGAAATGGCGTATCCTTTGACAATATCGTTTTACAGATTTTCTTCTTCTAAAAGGGCTGTGACATATATATATCTAAATCTATCCATTGCAACATTTTCAGCTGTCAAATGTCGGAAATTCGTTATGTTCTTTTTTTGTTCTTGTTGTTGTTAAGCATTAAGTTACACAATGAGCTACCTGTGCTGTGTCCACCGTGGGTATAAGCCTTCAGATTTATCACTGAACCACTAGGGGCAATTCGTTGTGAATCAAATATATAAGTATTACATATGTCGCTTATAGCGTCAAGTATCACACTTGCGGTGACACACAACACCATACAGTACTTATATATGCAAATCATGCTTATAAAGTACAATTAGCCCTCGGTATTTCAGCAAGGATGTGTATATTTTTCAACATTCAATTTAATTAATTTTTCTCCAAGAGAATCCAGTTTAATTAATTCTACTCCAGGGGGGAATATTTGCTATATCATCCGTTTTACAAGAGGATATTATAGAGTTTACAGTCGTATGGTTGCAAATTGGTTTATCAAAACTGACTTGTTTACTGAAATAATATTTTTACACCAACAGCGTGTAACATTTCCTGCCCCACCTACATTATAATTAACTAACCAGTGTTTGATCGAAACGTTAATTTAATCACGACTTTGTTTAATCACATTGAACAAATATCGCTTTTTTTCTTACAAATCTTCAAACGCAACATTTATAATTCCAAGTTTATATCAAATCAGTTACCCTGGAATTGTATTTTCCCTCTTATTTCATTGTTTCCCACTTAAATCACACGTGATATATCACTTGTAAACCTTTACAAAGTGTCTTCTGTTGGACTTTTTTTTTCGTTTTTAACAAAAAAAGATTTGGATAAAATATAGGTAGATGATAGACAACTAATTGCCCCCCAGTGGCATAACGGTATGTTTGCAAATTTATACTGTTCGAAACCTGTTTTCGATTCCCGTAGTGGGCAGAGCACAGATAGTCTTTTGTGTAGCTTCGTGCTTAATAACAGACAACAACTAATTAAGTCTGGAGAGGTAGATAAAAAGTTACAATGCAATAAATAAATAGATAGATAGACAGACATACAAGTTTGTTTGTTTTTGGGCAAAACACGAGGGCTATCTGCGCTAGCCGTCCCTAATTTAGCAGTGTAAGACTAGAGGGAAGGCAACTAGTCATCACCACCCACCGCCAACTCTTGGGCTACTCTTTTACCAACGAATAGTGGGATTGACCGTCACATTATAACGCCCCCACGGCTGAAAGGGCGAGCATGTTTGGTGTGACGGGGATTCGAAACCGCGACCCTCAGATTGGGAGTCGAGTGCCCTAACCACCTGGCCATGCCGGGCTAATTTGATAGGAAGATACTTTTTAAATAAAAGACAAGTTATCATATACTGATAAGTAATTAGAAATAAATATTGACAATTTTAGCTACATGGATAAAAAAAGTGTATCAGAAAAGTTGTAGAGAAGGCCAATTACGTACTTCATCAACTATGCCCTTTGGTGGTTGAGCGGTAAGTGTGCAGCCTTAGAAATTTAAAATCCGGAGTTAGATTCCCCGAGGGGGACATTGACCAGATAATCCATTGTGTAATTTTGCGTTAGAACAATAACTTTATTAAATAACTTCAGCGATGAATCAACTGTATTAGAATCGTTTCATTTAATGAATATCTGTACCTATTTACCGGAAAGGTGGTCATAATTTATTGATTTACAGATATGCAAAAGATAACTCTCTCAAGAGTGTAGTATGCTCACGTTTCAAAAGTTACCTTATAAATAATTTTACGAAACGTTCTGGAACACGTAACACTAAACAGCGTTCTATATTCTAGCCTCTGGCTCCTCAAAATATAACACCACGATGCGCACTCATGCATTGAAAAGTTCTAAATGTGAAACTGCAAATACATAATTAATTCATATATGAACACGTCATTCTAGACATAAGAAGATTAGCTTACTGTTTATTTCCACTATCAAAGGAAATTCTGACTATTTCTCGTTTGTTTGCTTTTTTTCTAACGGGAACTTTTTCTTTCACCAAGTGAAGACAGCAGTTTATTTTATTATAAATTCAGTCGGTTGTGTTATTTGTTTTAGTACACTAAAATATAAATCAAACGGTCACATTTAAAGTTTATATTTCTTCATTTTTTTCGAGTTGTGGTATCGACATTTCTAACAAATCATTTTAACACTTTTCATTGGCTGTAAGACAATCACAGTAATTGGAAACTCTAAAACCAACATGGTTTGATATAAGACTCCCATTTCTTTTCTACATTTATAATTTTTCCGTATGTGCATACTGACACATAAAAAAACAAGTTTTGACCTCTTGACCACTGACTACGTTTTTGAGTTAATTATCCACATCCTTACATTTTGGAATTATTAGGCCTCCAACTACATTTTTGGAATTATTATTCCTATATCTACATTTTGGAATTATTGGACCACTGACTACACTTTGAGTTACTGGGATTTTTTTTAAGACAAAGGAAAATATCATTAGCAATTACTAAGGAAGAGATTTCAGGTAGAAATGACAAGAAACTTTTCATAGAGAGTATATATATTTAGATCCGGTAGCTTAGCGGTCAGTTTGAGGCCTTACAACGCTAAACATCTTGTCTCGGTACTCAGAGCACTTTTAACTCGCTGTGTGGTTTTGTTCTTAATAACAAACAGTAGATTTTTTTTTATCAAAACTGTCAATTATTTTATGATTTACACTTCACTGATAAGCGTTTTGCTAATAACACTTTAGCCTATTTAGTGTTGTTGTTTTTATTGAAATAAACAATTCGTTCATACTGATTTTAAACTCTTTTAATTGTTTGTCGTTTGTATCGAGTTCAAATGAAATCCTTTTGAAAGCATTTGTTGGTCATCTGAAGTGAGTCTGTACGAAACATGCATGTTTTTAACAATTCCATAAAACACTAGAAGTTAAAAGTATCGTTGTTTGATCGTTTGTAATTAGACTCTCTCTGTCTTACAGTATAATACACTTTTGGCATCCGAAACTACTCCTTGAGGAAGTAACTATGAATCTCTGTAAATCTACTCCATTCTCAACCAGAGCGAAGTCACTGCGAGAAAAGTTTGGGTCTAAAAGAAGTTATTCAGAAAATTTAAAAGGTTCTCCAGTACCAAAAGCAGAACTTGTCCCTGAACGTCAAGCAAGTGCTGGATGTTTGCAAGTTGCTCCTCCACTACCGCCAGAACAATTTAACCCTTACTCCACCCTATCAGAGGATACATATTGTAGTGCTTTGGACATTAACTCCCATCAAGGAGATCCCAGGTTTCCATGGCAAAGAGATGCCGCCATCCAGTGTGATATATCACCAGAAGGTAACAAGCCTTCTTCAGCTCCTTCTTCAAGTCAGATAACGAAGATTTCCCGGTCTAACTCAAAACGGGGTGTCAAACAGACCGAGTGTGAAGACAAATGTCGTTCTACTACTACTTTCTTCTACAAAAACTTGCCAAAGGTTAATTCAAAATACATGTTCACCCCATGTAAGATGGAACTACCACAGGAAAATACTGATGTTCGTAGTGACGTCATCCCCCGACGAAAAGGTAGTTCTGGGCTTCAGCGGTCCATGTCTCTGGAGCGTGGCAAGTGTAGATCCAAACTTGTTCACCAGACGTCAGTAGATGAGAGCAGAATCACTCAACCTTCTCTCTATGTTCCTCATCATGTGCAGACTCTTACCCCCAGCTTAGAGGGCGTATCCTTTACTGAGTTTACTTCTCCCCAGGTACGTGAAGCAGCATCAAATAATAGTGCTCCCAACTCTCGTACAGCCACTCCTCCTCAAGAGGTACCTCCTCCACCGCCCTCTGATGCCAACATTTCAAACTTCGCTATGCGAAAACCCAGTAGTGGAGAACTCCGAAAATTACGATTTGTTCGAAAAGAAACGCACTCTGCTCCAGATTCTTTGGAGGAAACCACTCCTCAAACACCAGAGAGAAACATAAATAGCTATTTCAATCTTGATAACATCCAAAGATTCCTCGACTTAACACTGTCTAATGTTTCGTCCAAGAGTAATTCCCTGGATAGTCGCTTTCATCTAGGTCTTCCTTCTCAGAACGGTAAGTTTTAGTTTCATTACATATTTGGTACCATTTTCACAAACTAAATAAAAAAATATGTGATTCGAAAAAGACAAAAACCGTTGCTCTACAAATTATTTTGCAAGATGATTAAATCGCAAGAGCTCTTAGCTTCGTGCTACTGGGCTTCCTGACATCCATATATTTGGTGGCCTATCTCTTCCTCCGCCATTAGCACGAGCTATGCTATTTTCAGTATATAAACCTTAAACTATTTTGACATTAAAATGTATGGTAATAAATTGGTTTTATTCGTTCTATTAAATTGTCTTTATTGGTTAGCCGGTTTGTTTTGGTTGTACTCTGCCGTACTACAAGTATCTTTCTTATTAATCCGGTAAACCAAGTCTTAACAAAGAGTCCAATGGTGGAGCGTGACGTTTAGTAGTAATTTATGTGTGATATAACACCACTGCAAGAATTATTATAATTTAGATATCATCGTTCTTTACTATCAAAATAGGGATTTCAACTTTAACAATATAATTTGAACAATATAATATTTCAACTTTAACAATATAATTTGAACAATATAATATTTCAACTTTAACAATATAATTTGAACAATATAATATTTCAACTTTAACAATATAATTTTGAACAATATAATATTTCAACTTTAACAATATAATTTGAACAATACAATATTTCAATTTTAACAATATAATTTGAACATTATTAAAGTGACTACTTATTTCGACGATGAACTGAATATTTCTTAGATATAGTGGTAAATGTTAATTTTGAGAAAGTCCCCCGATGGGTGAGCGGTACGTTTAGGGTCTTACAACGTTAAAATCAGGAGCTCGATTGCCCGTTGTGGACCGAGCGAAAACAGAACAAATCCAACCCAACTTGTAGAAAGAAACACACCATAAACAACAACAAATTATGTCCTCACTCACTCGTAAATCCGTATACTCACGGATCAAAACTTCTTTGAACAGAGTATAAGATATGTTACATATAAATTACATTAAATAATATAACGTTTCATATTCGTTAACTTCAATAATAAAGATTAAAGAATTACGCTTTAATTCAAATTTCCCGAACCTTCCTCTTTTAAAACCTTACCTAATGACCTTTATAAGTCATTATACAAGTCATTCGTGATAATAATCCTCACAGACAATTATAATCAACGATTTTATTCATGAAGGCTCGTTAAAAGAGCAGGTTAAGGAAACCTTACCATTATTCTGTTCTCTTATTGGTCGTCTGGCTACCATGAAGGCTCGTTAAAAGAGCAGGTTAAGGAAACCTTACTATTATTATGTTCTCTTATTGGTCGTCTGGCTACCATGAAGGCTCGTTAAAAGAGCAGGTTAAGGAAACCTTACTATTATTATGCTCCCTTATTGGTCGTTTGGCTACCATGAAGGCTCGTTAAAAGAGCAAGTTAAAGAAACCTTACCGTTATTGTGTTCCCTTATTGGCCGTCTGGCTAATATATAAAAGCTCGTTAAAAGAGCAGGTTAAAGAAACCTTACTATTATTATGTTCTTATATTTGTCAACTAGCTATCATTAAGTCTTACTGAAAGAACTGGTTAAGGAAACCTTACTGTTACTATGTACCCTAATTGGTCATATACCTATCGTGAAGGCTCATTAAAAGAACTGATTAAGGAACCACACTGTTATTATGTTCCCTTATTGGTCATCTAGCTATCATGAAGGCTCATTAAAAGAACTGATTAAGGAACCACACTGTTATTATGTTCCCTTATTGGTCATCTAGCTATCATGAAGGCTCATTAAAAGAACTGGTTAAGGAACCACATTGTTATTATGTTCCCTTATTGGTCATCTAGCTATCATGAAGGCTCATTAAAAGAACTGATTAAGGAACCACACTGTTATTATGTTCCCTTATTGGTCATCTAGCTATCATGAAGGCTCATTAAAAGAACT